TTTATCGGTATAGGACTAGTATTGATCAGGTTAAGGTCTGAATTCGTGGTTTAGGACCAGTTTAGATCGGTTTAGGGTCTGGAGTGTACAATTAGGACTAGAACTAACTGATTTAGGGTTAGGTTAGCTCAAATTAGGTCTGATGGTATCTGATTTAGGGCATAGTGGACTGATTTAGGGTATGATAGGGTCTGTTGTGATCGGGTTACCCTGTTAGGACTGTCTAGTATCCAATTTGGCTGGGTTTAGTGAAATTCACTAGGGTTAGACCTGTTTAGATCTCGGTTTAGCTGATGTGGGTCATAGATTCCGGTTCTTTCTGTTCAGTATAGGTCTGAATAGGTGGATTTGACTACGTTTAGCTGGGTAAGAGGTCGGGTTAGGCTTAAATAGGCTAGTACAGATCTGTAAGAGACTAATTTAGGTCTGATGTAGGTCTGTAAGTGCTGTTTAGGTCTTGATTAGGTCTGGTTTAGCTAAATTTGGATTGGTCTAGCTTAGTCTAGGTCTGATCAGTAGGTAATTAAGTCAAAATAGGCTTGGTTAGGTCTGATTAGAGTTTAGAATGTCTATAGAGACATTGTCTAGGTCTGATCTGATTAGTATCTGATTGTAGATTTAGGTATTATCTAGTTTAGGACTAGATAGGACTCCTAAGTGCCAGGTTTGAGTCATAGAGTCCGGTACATTGACCGGTTAGGTCTGATTAGTTGGGATTTGACTAAAACGGGTTGGCTTAGGGGTTGGTTATGTCTAGGATCACTAGGTATAGGTCTGTAGGGGTCGGTTTAGATCAGGGCAGGTCTGTAGGAGTGGTTTTAGGCATATATAGGGTCTGATCAGAATCAAATTAGGTCAATTAGGCTTAGTTTAAGTCTGATTAGGGTGCTAAAAGGTCTAATCAGGGGTTGGTAAGTCATTAGGGGTGGCTTAGGTTTAATGATTAGGACTTTTAGGTGATTGACTAGGACTTAGGGTTATCTAATCAGGGGTTGGTCGACTAGGGTTGGCTTAGGTCTGATTAGGGTCGTGTGATGGTCTAGTTGGGACTTTTGGTTGTCTAAGTAGGGTTGTTAGGGTCTAGGTAGCACTTGGGTAGGTCTGATTAGGACTTTGTGAGGGACCGGGTAGACTCGGGATCGTAGGACTGGTTAGGACTTTGTTGGGGGCCATGTAGACTCGGTGTTATAGGTCTGATTAGACGTAGTCAGGGCTGGTTAGCCTTAAGTTAGGTCTGGTTAGACGTAATCAGGTCTTAAGGTAGGCTGTGTTTCGAGTCTAATAGGTCGGTTAGGCAAAATTATGCATAGGGTAAGTCCAATCAGGTTTGTGCGAGAGTCTAGAAGGTCGGTTAGGTAGAAATATACCTTGTATTAAGTCCAATCAGGTCTGGTCTAGAGTGTGTTAGATCCGTTTAGGTAAGATGTACCTAGGGAAATGTCCGGTTAGACTTGGTTTAAGGTCCGCTAGATCGGTTTAGGTTGAGTGCCTAGGTTAAGTCCGGTCAGGTCGTATTCTCTAGGTCTTGTAGGTCTGATTAGGTAGAGACGTACCTAGGTTTAGGACCGATAGACTAGGGTTGGAGCGTGTTTAAGCACGGCTAGGTAGAAATATACCTAGGGTTAAGTCCTCTAGGGTTCGGTCTCATCCCTCGTGTCATGTTACATCACTTCTAGGGTCGGGTAAGTCACTTCCAGGTTGAGTCGGTTTTAGACTCAGGTTTTATC